GCTCTTGTATCTTCTCTTGCACTTTATATGTCGTAGCTGCGATATTCTACTGCCTTGTGATTAATGCTTGTATGCTGCTCATGCTCTTTCTGCATATCATGTATTTATTTTTGCCATGTATATAACTGTCATGTTCATACATGTTGTATGGACTACGGATGGAAATTAGCTCAAAGCAATTGTAAGCATTAAAAAAAAGTTGAACTTTAGCTCAAAGCATTTGTAAGCATTATTTTGTTTAAAATGTTCATCAACGTGCATTGTCCCGGTTCAAATAAACGATTAAATGAAAATGGAGAGATGATATCTCCACGCTGGCCTGGGAGCACCTTGGAACTCCCCAGTGTATTTGGTTGTTGTGGAAGTTTAGGCCTTCTGCTGGATCTGCTTCCCCTCGACTCGACTCCGGATAAGGGGTTGATGATGGATGGATGGATGCTAGAGGGAAGAGAACCCATCATTTTGTGTTTGCTATCTATCTTGCAAACAATGGTCAACTGAGTATCCTTTTTAACCCTCCTTTGTTATTATCCTAAATTAAACGAGGTCCACCCACTCTATAACTCTTTGTGAAGTTTATTCAGCCTGAAAAGCAACCACTAAAAGATGTTATGTAACATTGTTATTGTGCTGTTTGCAAAGGGAGAACCGTACATGAAAGGAAATGTTAATGTGCAGTCAGCTTGCAAATGATGGCGTCAATTACCATGAAAAGGTAAAAACATTTCTACGTCTAATAATTATATTGCAATATCGTAGTAATGTCAGATGCCACTGATGAGTGAAATGATCTAACACTCTTTTCGAGTGTACATAGTGACTAAGAGGCACTATTATTAACAGAATCAAATGACAAAAATAATCCAGTGAATATTAACGGTGGTGTGCTGTTCAGGAATCACTTACCATGGAACTTCGGTTCCATTAATACAATAGGCTCAAGTGGTTTGATCAGTCTTCCGAGTAGCAATTCACTTAAACATTTCTTTAAGAAAAAAGGAGAAAACACAAACATAAAAACAGGGCTTTCACATATTGTCTAAGGAATGTTCCACGTAGAAAGAAAAAACTCAGGTCCGTCCATCCAAAATAGGACTCCATTGCTGTGAAAAAAGGTCCTTATCACAGGGATCGCTTTTTCTTTACATACACAACATGGGAAACTGATTTTCTTGAAAAAGTGTCAAGTGGATAAAATTGTCACTATAAAAATTGTGACAAAGGCAAGTAGCCGTTTTGGCCGTTTTTCGAGTTTGAAATCCGCTGTCATGCCTGATGAATGTGAAAAGAAACGTGTGACCTACGGTGGCTCATAGGTGCAAACACGCTACAACGGCCAAAACAAATGCAAGTTAAGAAACATCTCCACCAACTTGACAACACATGCGCAGCATTTACTAAAAGCGCTATGTAGACGAAACGCTGCAAGAAGCTCCAAACACAACGGAAAAGGAATATGAAGTTGGCCAACTTTAACTCTTGCAGAGATAGTCCGTTTCATGTGCAACCTGTCACCATTTGAGATTCTTGCAGCGATCTTTTATGTTCAGTACTTTGTATTTGCAGCGATCTGTTTACGCAGCGCTTTTAGTAAACGCTGGGCATGTCAAGTTGGTGAAGATGTTTTTTTGATTTGCATGTGTTTTGGCACATTTGTGTTTTATTTGCACTGTTTTTGAAACTACAGCACGTTTCTCCCAATGGAAACGTTTTAGGACGTTGTAACGTGTAACGTAAAGTATTCGAGGCAAAAACACACTTTTGTGTTCCTTAAGGTGCCACTTTTCTTCAGTTTATGCTGTTTGTAGGAGACATGGCTGTTCACAGTGTGAACATTTTTAGCTTCTCAAAGCACAGCCAGCCCTCCGTCACAGCGGCTGGTGATCATGTTGCCCACTTCCGTCCAGGTATCCAGATGAGGGTCGTAGATTTCCACCGAGTCCACCGTCACCGGGGCGGAGAAGTCTCTGCTGGCCGCCCTGCCCCCGACGGCGTACAGCATCCCGTTGACCGCCGACACTGAAACGCCGGCACGAGCAGTGGACATTGACGCCACCTCCATCCATTTCTCCTGTAAGAACAAATGTTGGCACACAGATATAAACAGGATTGGGGAGTAACGGATTACATATAATGGGATTACGTAATCAGGATACAAAAAAGGTTAACTGTATTGCCTTACAGTTACATTCAAAAGAATAATCAGATTACTGCTAATTTTTTTTAAAGAACCAGAGAAACTTCAACCACATATAAACATTGTATTTTAAATTCATGCCTGGCTGAGTCGGCAAAATGAAGCAAAATGGACTCCAAGCTAGCAAAATATTATACATAAATCTTAAAGGTCCCATGTCATGCTTTTCCGGTTATTACCCGTCCCCTTGTGTGTTATGAAGGTTTGTATGCATGTAAATGGGTCAAACACCCTCAAAGTACACCCTGTAGCGAGTAAAACTCTAACACAGAAAAGACCTGTCTATGCTGCCCCGGAACGCCTCGTTGGAGATTTCTCTTTTTCCCGTATTTCTTCCGGGAACCAAGTGACGTAACGACGACCCCATGGACCAATTGGTCCAAATGGACCAATCCGCGGAGCCGTTCCGTTACGTCCGCGGAGCCGTTAAGTCCGCAGAGCCGTTACGTTACACACACACACTCAATCTTTTCTCAGCTGCAGCTCCGCCGATTTCTCCTCCCTGAGATGGCGGGACGCAGCGAGGCTGCGGGTGTGTGTGTGTGTTCGGGCTGGGCTTCGCTGTGTCTCGCAGAGGGCCACTGGGCTCACAGGGAGGGGGGGGGCAGGAGCTCCAACAAGCCGTTTAGGACAGAGAGTGAATACACATACTATACAGAGATGCTGTATGAGAAACCAATGTGAGTTTGGAATATTGCACAATATAAATCCATTTTAGTATACCTCAACAATGGAATTATGATCAGTAGAAATGGCCATGACATGGGACCTTAAACAAGCTGGTAGTGTAGTATAATAGTCATCAAGGCGCTTAATGGTTATGCTCGGGGTAACCCTGAGAAAACTTTTATTTCGATTATGGTTTTGTTTTCACACTGAGCAAATAATAAATATATATTCTCTCTTGAATATTAACACAACAGTAGAGCATTCATTTGAAAACGTCTAAAATAACGTTTAAGAAAGATTTGTTATTTTGAATTGTTTTTAAGGTATTACTGAACATTAATTGATCCCGCTTCACCTCTTCTGGACAGTACTTCTCCACCGTGTCCAGTGCCCCCAGCGCCTCATTCCAGCCACCCACGGCGTAAATGCAGTTATTGAGGCAGGCGACGCCCACGTAGGCCCGACGCGTGACCATTACGGGGAGAGCACTCCATCGGCGAGAGATGGGATCATACACCTCGGCCGAACGCAGCTCCATTCCCTCGTCACTGATGCCTCCAATCACGTAAATAAAGCCTGGAAGGAAAAGTAAAAAATTCACTGCAGTGTCATTGTTCGCACTTTAAATAACAAAGAAAAAGGCTATGAACACACCTTGTAGCTCACAGCAGCCGAAGTAGTACCGTGGGACGGCCATGCTTCCGATCACCTCCCACCGGTTCTCCTCTGGGTCGTATCGCTCCATCGTCTTCCCGATCTCCGAGCCAATCCAACCACCTGCAGGAGAACAGGAAAAAATATTCAGCTTTTGCTTTTTTATGATGTTTCCCAAATTGCACTTGTTATGTACGTATTTATTATCATTGGACTAAATTATTTGGTTGAAATTGTACAGCTTTTCATTGTCCCATGTTTTGCACTCATGTTATGCTATTCTATTGCCAGGGGTGCACATAAGTGGTACGCAGGTACGCATGCGTGGCAACAATCTGAAATGCGTACCGTCACTTGTGTCACAAAGCGCATTTGCGTACCGGCGTACTTGTGAAGCTTTTCCAGAAGGCGGTTAGATCACCGGACGACAGAGTCGGTCTCCGTGTGCACAGACAGGGCTGCTGTTAACGTCTGTACAGCAGCACTGCGCTAAAACAGCTGATCACAACTGTTTTGATCAAAGGTTTTTGTATTTTTACCTCCAACTTATTAACTTTTTTCTTAATTATTTCAGTGTAAGGCTTAAAGTTGACATGCTTATTAATATACAAAAAGGTCTTTATTTTCCTCATACTGTCTATGCTGTAGCACCTCTATTCACCCTCTGTCTGATGTCCTGCCCTTTAACCTATCACATACATATGTTGGTGCGCTAGCCAATATAAGCGCGAGTGTAAAATAGTGATGTCATTATGTTACGGAAGTAAATAAAGGAGTCTAACGGAGGCGTTTCAGGCAGGGGGGGAAACTTTTGGATTTTAGCCTTTGCAGACCATTTACATGCACACAAACTATATAACACACTACAGGAAGGGGAAAACCCTCAAAACCATAACAAAAAACCTTTAAGAGTCCTCCTTTTTTCTTAACAGCACTTCAGGCCCTACCTAGAGTTTTGTCAATACATTTTATTTTACCAAGAACAGCTACACGACTAATAGATTTTGTGACATTGTGTGTTTGACAAACATGGTGCTACTGTGGCATTTACCAAGTGCATACAGAGCTCCGTGGCAGGGGCAGACGCCAACCCCACAGCGCGGGAAGTTCAAAGACGCCACGGCGGCCCACTGCTTGGTCACCGGGTCGTACCTCTCAGTGCAGTCGAAGATCATCGAGTCTTTCTCCCCTGGGGAAACAGATTCTTTCTTACAGACTGAAGACTGTTGAGGTTGTTTAATTCCTGGGTTTGAAACACAACAGCTCTCTCACCTCCCACCACGTAGATCATGCCCTCCAACACGGCAACCCCCAGCCCGCTGCGGGCCTGGTGCAGGGACGACACCGTCGTCCAGTACTGGTTGAAGGTGTCGAAGCGCTCCACACAACTCAACGCGCGGCTGTCACTCCAGCGGCCGCCCTGCAGCCGAGTGTAGCCCCCTGGGAAGAAATATAGAGATAATATGGCATTTCAGAATCAAAAGTCCTTTATCCCTCCATAAGTGGGGACATTTACATTGTTACAGCAAGGGGTGAGTGCAGAAAAAAGGTGTAGACTAACATTGTTATATTTAGTTGTACTTATTAGTTTGATGGAGACAACAGAGATACTCTTTTACGGTACGTCCACCGTCTTGCCGGTGGGCGTGTCTGGCGTGCGACCAACAACCAATCACATTAATCTCCAGCCCGGACACACAGGCACGCGGTTTGATTGGCTAGAGCTTGTACTGACATATGATTTGATTGGCTGACGCTTCCGTTGAAGCTTGAACAGTTGAACTTTTCTCAACTTTTGAATCGAGCAACGGAGGCCAAGCAACACGACGGAACCACAATGCAGTTCGGCAAAGCCTGCCGTCACCCCATTCAAAGTGAATGGGAAGCGTCTCCGCTGTCGTGTGGACGTACCGTTAGGGTTTGTAGATTGTTACGTGTCTATCTGAGAGAAAACTCCCTCTGGAGGGAACACAGAGATTTTAGCCTTTGCAGACCAATTACATGCACAAAAAACAATATAACACACTACAGGAAGGGGAAGCCTTGAAAAGCATCAGGGCCACTTTAACAAATGTAACAGAAACTGTTTCTGGTGTTTCTTATTTAGAGGAAATCAATCAGGTGAATTTCGAATGTTGAAAAAGGTCATGTGAAACAGCACCTATAGCATAGAGGTATTTTCTGGCTTTTCTTCTGGGTCTCATCTTGGCTGGTTGGAGCTGGCTGTACATCTTATTCTCTTTGGGAGACTTTGTGACTTCAGTGTATTCCTTAAGAAGAGTCTGCAGTGCCACCCGCAGGCTGAAGTCGGTAATACCTTTAAAAGCATTTCAAGATGTTGTTAACAATGTAGCTCTTAATCAACGTTACAGCAATATTGTGAATGGTACATCAATACATGTGTAAGATATAAACGTTGGGATGCCAAATGTTATGTTCCCTCACCCTCGATGTACTTGAACAGTCTCTGTGGGGACAGCAGAGGGAAGCGCACCGGCTCCAACACCTCCACTACGTGTTTTTTCCTCTTTGCCATGTCTTGGAGGACCCAGTCCATGGCTGCCGTGAACACCTGGTACTCATCCTCGATCCTCAGCTCTTCACTTTTTAGGAGCCTCACCAGCTGATCCTTCGACAGGCCCCTGAACTCATCGGTCACACACACCTAAAAGGAAGCAGATGATAGGCAGAGTTGAAATGCTTTCATTCAGATTAAATGCTGATGGTCAGAAAAAAACAGATTTCATGTATATCAATCTTCGATTTACAAGAAAAATAAGGAACAGATTTTGACAGAAACACTAGGGATGGGAACTGGTTCCAAATTGTCCGATCCATTGTAATTGTAGCGCTCTGAGGTTTTTCATTATCTTAAATCATATGCCAGCATGTTTTTCTGACAGTTTTGTGCTGATAAATATCTGCGGTATGACGTCAGAATCTGTTTCTACGCAACTTGAACTACAAACAAATGGGAGTCATTGCGTAGAGGAAGACAAAAGGGGAAAAAACTCATACTTTTTTCACACAAAAAAATGCTAAAGTGTTACTTGTGATGTCTGTAAAATTGGTGTACTGTATTTTAACTAATGTTATAAGGCAGAAATTCAACACTGTGTCCAGACTCAGAGATGTTAAAACAGCTGTGGTGACGCTAAAAAAACCTGTGTAGGACTACTGTCTTTCATGTGAGAAAATGTAACCTACATTAACAGGGAAATAGATATAGAAACAAACTGATAAGTAGAATAAATAATGGATTTTGCATCAATCAGAGGTGTTAACTTGAGTCAGATTCGAGTCACAGATTTGATGACTTAAGACTTGGCGGCGCATTAAGATTTGATAAGGGCTTCAACATTAGTTAAGGGCTTTCAGGCATGGCCTGGGACTTGCAAAGACTTGATTTGGACTTTCAAAATAAATGACTTGGTCGCACCCCAGGTATCAATAAAGACAAATATTATCCCTGTCAGAAACAGTGCCTCTTATTATTATATTGTCTCCTACCTCCAGAAAGTGAACCTGAATATAGTTCTCTGTGAATTCCAGCATCTCCATGCAGGCGATCTGCTCCAGGAACTGAAAGATGCCCACACAGTTGGACGGGTCCATGTGGCCCTTGAGGAACCCTCCGCAGATGGACACCACCTCATTCAGCTGCAGCATGTCAGCCGCCACCATCAGCTCCTGGACGTTCTCCACCGTCACACTGATCACGCCTGATAGGGAAGCAAACATGATATAAAACAGATCTGATGGAACATGATGATGTGGGGAGTATCAGAGGAGATGCAGACCTGTGTATATGAAGTCCAGGAGAATCTCAAACACTTGAGTCTCCACTCCGAGGATCTGCACCTCCTCTTTATCCGCCTCCCTCATCCCCCCGGAGAACAGAGCGGAGAAGTAAGGGCTGCTAGCGGCGAGCACCAGGCGGTGGACCATGAAGACCCGGCTGCCCACCTTCAGACCCACATCACAGAAATCTGTGCGGAGCCGCATCTTGTTCATCTGGGCCAGGATGAGTCTGGCGTAGCGATCTGAGGCCAGCAGAGCCTGTTCCGACGCCTGGTTTGCCATGACAGCACCACCACAACAAGTGAATGCTGACATGGAGGTGGAGGACATAGCAGCTGGGGCAGGTCTGTGCTAACATGGAGGCCAGTATTCCCAAACCCTCCTCTCTAATGGGTGTCAGCATGAAACACACCTGCAAGACACACAAGCTCATGCATTAACAACAAAAACCACACTTTGCTGTTGTGTAACAACACAACAATGAGGCTTAGTCAGACATATTATAAAGAATATGCGTTTACAACGGACTTCCTTGCTTGTCTCTTGCTAAAGTCTTAGTGCATTTATAGAGAAGTTACTGTATATTCCTGATGCTATTATTAGCTATTAAACATTTAACAAAAAACGACGTTAGCCAGACGTGCTAGCCAACACAGACAGCCATTCACCCATCATATTCATCAGTTTAATAGTCCACTGAAATGAGACAACTTTACCACGAAACAACCCCTTCTATAAGAGTACAAATTCACGTGTATTGGGGGGAAAATATATGAAATCCAGCTTGTTTTTAGCCGTGACTTACCCATAAGTTTACTGATGAGGATGCAGGCAACTTCCGTCGCCCTGCAGATTGTCAACACATCCTCCACGATCGACTGCTCTGGTCTGGCGGTTGGATGTGTCCAGTCATGACTAGCCGATCCCCGATAGAGGTACTTTTTTTTTCTCCACTGACCCTTGTTGTCGGCATGTCCGTCCTGAGAGACAGAGCTTAACATGAAGGTATGAGTTATTTAGCCTAAGTTTGAATTATTTTGTGCTTCCTTCCTTAATTTTGGCCTGTTTGACCTTAACTTTCGCCAGGTTGGTTGTAACACACAACACCAGATGGCAGTGTCGCCTTTGAACAAGCAGCTAAACAAATGGAAGTCCTTGACAACAGCCACAGAAACCTGTACATTTACATTATCATAGTATTCATAGCATACCAGCCCCCAGCACAATAGTACTTTTTCAGATACAGCCAGCCTACACTGTGTTAAAGGTCCCATGTCATGTTTTTCCGGTTATTACCCGTACCTTGTGTGTTATGAAGGTTTTTATGCATGTAAACGGTCTGCAAAGTCACAAACCCTGAAAGTACACCCTGTAGCGAGTAAAACTCTTAACACAGAAAAGACCTGTCTATGCTGCCCCAGAACGCCTCGTTGGAGATTTCTCTTTTTCCATTGTTTTCTTCCTGGGTACAGTGACGTGCCCATACCCAAACTGAGCCATTGGTCCGAATGGACCAATCCGTGGAGCCGTTACGTTACGTCCGCGGAGCCTCACACACACACACACACACACACACTCAATCTTTTCTCAGCTGCAGCTCCGCCGATTTCTCCTCCCTGAGACGGCGGGACGCGGCGAGGCTGTGAGGCTGTGAGTTTGTGTGTGAGCACACAAACAAACTATCAGCCAGGCTGCGGGTGTGTGTGTGTTCGGGCTATAAATCTATTTTTAGTATACCTGAACAATGGAATTATGATCAGTAGAAATGGCCATGACATGGGACCTTTAAACTGTAACCTCATTGACTGGACACTTGGCCTCTATGAGCTAGCTAACATACTCTTAGCAATGGGTAGTCCAGTTTGTTTTAATCAGTGGCTTGACATCAAATTGGATTTAAATATAATGTCGGAAACCTGTTATTAAACAAAATCTAGCACTGCTTGGGCCTGTCAGACCTTTCTGAGTTGAGGTGAAAAACACCAGTGACAGTTACAGAAAAAAGTCCTGTAACTGTCACTTGACTTGTATTTCCTGATATGTCAAAGTGTCACCCAGGATCTAACAGCCATTGTACTGTACTAGAAAATATGTGGTGGCACCAACTTTGGCAAATTAAAACTCAAAGACAGATATGTGCCAACCTGGCAACTCCCGTCGCCGTGTTTAGTTACATTTCCAGCTTTTCCTTTTATGCTAGAGGTGATCCTCCATTGCCATTATCTTAACTAAACAATAAGCTCATTGGACACAGCTTAAATAGACTCTAAGCCAATATAAGGCAGAGTTCACCCTTTCAATTGACGCAGGGCTCAACAATTGCCCGCTTGCCCAGGGGCAAATGAAAAGCCAAGTCAAGCTAATAAATCTAGAAACTCATTTGCCCAATTTGGTGAGTTCTAAAAAAGAATAAAGTTGAGAGATGCCAATGTGGGAAAAAGACAAAGTCGAAGCTGAAGCGTAGGCAAGCTATTGAATTATCCTGGAAACACACTATTATTTAGGTGGTGTAAGAGGATGTGGGTGAAACTCCACAAATAAATAAACAACTATCGGGGCAAGTACAAATGTACTTTGGGCAAGTCGATTCCAGACTTACTTGCGTAATGGGATAAACAAACCCAAAAATAGCTGTGAAAACCTCATAAAAAGCAAACACTAATTGGAATGTCCCCCCCTTTCTTTGCATCCAAATAACTGAAAATCTAGTCTTGAAATGTCCCTTTTCATTCCCGAGAGACTATGGAGATTTTCAGAACTTGAAAATAATTATGATGACATGACAGCCTTCCCTTAAGTAAATAAATAAATAGCGTTTAATGATGAAGTAAAACAAAGAAAATATACGTTTATATACTGCCAAGATCTGTCATATTCAGCTTTCAATTGATCTTACCCTGAATAAACTTGAACCTTTTTAAACCAAGCTATATAAATGTTGATCAAAACGTCTTAAACTTAAATATTAACATTTTCAAAGCAGGATGTTTTCTTTATCTTTTAATCAGGTTAGTTTTTTTCTCAATGGTAGCACAAGCACTGTCACTTTCCACACAAGCCTGAGGTGTGTTAATCACATTACGTATTTTTAGCAGTCGTGAAGTGATCAGAGCTGTTTTGCAATTCAAGAGCCTCATTAGTTTCTCATTGAAGTTTGAGTACAGCCACTATTCATCAATGGACCGTACATGCTATTGAGGAACATACATGTTTTCTACAAGTCCAGGATGGTAATATGTCCATGGGACGTTGGTATAAATAACTGAGACATTTGTTGTTTGTGGCTTCTGGCTTTTTATATCAAATCAATCTTTTAAGCAAATTGACATTGCTTTAGGTGTTTAATTTCCGATCTGAACATGTGTCTTTTTCTTTTGCCTTTTGTTCTTTAGGCTGTTGCCCGGGCAGGTGCCTCTTGTAAAACAGGTTTTAGTAAGTAGGTGAGGTGTTAAAATAAATGTGAAAGTAGTGACACCGCCTTCTTTTGGTTAGAGTTGTTCTGTTACAGTATGATTTTTTTATTTGTAGTCTTTTTAAATGTTTGTGCTTGTCACGAGCATGAGGATTATTTTCACCAATAATAATATCCCTTCACTGTGGTGATGGGAGCAGTACGATTTCCCTGCTCCCAGAATCTCTAATGTAGTGGGAGAAAAAGGTCAATAGTGTGAGGGTCATCCTATGGAAAGCGGTCACCATAATTACCATTCGGGTTTAAGTGCAGGGTATGTCTGACTTTTTCATCAGGGCTCTGTTTTCTTGGCTAGACGATGCTTTGACCAGGAAAGAAAAACATCATGAATGAAGCTTAAGGCTTCTTATGGGAGTAGGTAGAGTTCAGCGTTTACTGACTACTTGGCCATCAAACCAGATAATGCAAAACAAGTCATTAAAGCGCTCTGTGGAATTATTTTTTATTATTTTTTCCATGATATTGCGCACAACGTATACTCGAAAAATCTCTGTTGTATGATGAATGTATTCAATTTTCTGTTGTTAATACATCTTCTTTCTTATTTCTAATATCCCTCGATTGTATTTCAAATGGTGTCTTGTACATTTTTGTTCTTATCTTGCTAGACAAGGCTCCTTTCCTCACCTGACAGGACTTGTAAACTGCGTAACCCTTCTTTATCTTGGCTTGGTTCACCACCTACAATGTACATACAGTATTGTGCTTTCAGACCAACCTGGTTTCTGATTTGAACTCTGAAGCTTCTCTGCAGTGTTTCAGCCCTTTGCAAAATTAGTTTGCTGGCTATGTGCCTGCTGGTTCTTTTTTGAATCTATTTGAGATGTGAACTCCTGCAGTGAGATTGTCCTGAGAGCTTAAGGAATACAGAGGTTCTTCTTTTATTATAGGTATTTTATTTTATATACTTTTTTGGGTACCACTTTACAATAAGACTACCCTTATAAAGGGTTTACGGATAGTTTGTAATTCATTTATTAATTAGGTTGTGAACACTTTATAAATCATTAATAAGCTTTTATATGACATGAGATAAACAGGGCAACTGTGAACGGTTGCTTGCCAAATAGTGAGCCCACATTTATCTGTACTGCTAAGCCTTATATTGGCTACTTAGCTTACTTCATCTTCTTCATCAGCCAGCATCCTTGGTATCTGTAGTTCACTGAATTGATTCACTAAGTAGCCAATGTAAGGCTTAGTCATCTTGCCAAATTGTGAGCCTGTGTTAATGTATGAAAACTAAGTTAGAACTGGTTTATAAATGGTTCTTGATGATTAATAAAGTGTTTACAACCTAATTAATAACCTAATTATAAACCCTGTATGAATCCTTTATAAGGGTAGTCATATTGTAAAGTGGTACCCTTTTTTTTTACCTGTTTCAAAGCAATGGGATCCTCTTGCATTCCGTGTCTTTTAGGTTAGGTTTTTGCTAATCTTATTTGGTTGCTGTTCTGAATTGGCATTTTTTTTTAATGGTTTGTCAGCAAGCAGTATAATGTTTTCTCATTGTAAGATCTAGCTCAGTGTCACCTCACCTTTCAGGGTGATTTCAGCACCTTACTTTGACTGTTACAGGTAAAAATGCTCTTTAAATATGTAGGATGCCCTATTATTAATCATGATAGAACCACTTTGGGTCTAAATAACACAATCAAATACAAAGGTGTTTGCTTTTGGCCCATGGTCCACCATTATATTTCAGTTTAGGCCCTCCATGGAAAAAGTTTGTGCTCCCATGTTTCAAACTGGTTAAATCCAGGGTTCATGATACAGTGTAATCTTAATTTTTCTGTAATTTAGGACACAGATTATTAATGCAAGAGACACACTGATGTTTGAATTGGGTCAAAAGGATGACATAAAGCTTAAAAATCCCTATGGGCTTAAGTGTTATTATCCTAAATATTTTGTAGAATATGTAGTAATCTGCTTTCAAGGTTTTGTTTAACCACTACTGTACATTGGTCCTTATTGTAAGTAATCAGATATGTTGTGATCTTGCCTATACTTTAAAATGATAGCAAATATATATATATAATAAAATAGTGCCTGAAAAGAAAAAAATGAAATATAGGCCTATGTTAAAAACTTTCCAAGCATAATTTCAAACTTTTTTAATGTGAATCATTTAACATAACTCCTCCAGGTTTTGAAACAATGTTCTGTCTTTATTTACTAGTTTTTCAGTTTTGCCATTACCTTTACAACCCAATAACATGAGCAGCTATATTGTAAAAATAAATAGATACATTAATTCACACATATGCACGACATACAGACTAACTGTTTTTTAGAGAGGCTTCAAAGAAAATGTAGAGCTGGTATGTTAAATGGTTCAGTCTGTAGCCTACATGCTGCTTGGCAGGCAACAGCATCGCTTGCCTTCAGCCTATAAGCCAGCTATAATGTGAGCTAGTAAAAAAGAGGGGGGAAAAAATCCCTTTTATCGATTCTGCCTCCAACATAGCAACTGGTCGCTGATTGGCTGACGTGCTGCACGTTCCCGGCTTCCCATTGGCTCATCGGGTAGCGTGAAAACGTTGGTATCGGACGGAGACAGAGGGGAGGACAGACTCGATTGGCTCAGGGCAAACTGAAAGCGAAAACCTCTTTCCTGAGAGCCTGCGAGACAGTTGATGGTGTGTGTATTTTAGGCGTGACTCCAAAGGTAATTCGTCCTGCTGCCCCCCCCAGCCAGGGCTTAAATCGAGAATTATAAAGCAAAATGTCTATGAATTTAAACGACCGAGTTAGGAGACTGAGGGGTACCGACAAGGAAGAAGGAAAGGGAGGAAAGTAGAGACATACTGTGTATGTGGAATGAGCAATAAAATATGTGGGGGCTGGGCTTTTACATAGATTAAACCCATTCAGGGAGCTAAGGAAAATAGGACTTGGCAAGCAGTGTAAGCTAAATTGCTGTGAAAGCAAATAGCTTTGGGGACAAGCTAGGTGGGAGTGTGTTTCAGGTCAACGGAAATGTAGCAAAGGCCTAGCTTGACCTTTTCAGCCTTCATTCTTTTATACCATCCTGTACATGAGCTAGAAAAATGCACTGTTTCCTGCCCCTCCTCTTTCCCTGTCTGTGTGTACCCCACACACTTTCTCTACCCACTCTCCTTGTCTTTTGGACACTCACGAAGCCTGACTGAGTCAGCGCTGCTGGTACACTCTGTCCTTTCCATCTCCTCTGCATCTGGTCCATCTCTTCTGTCTATGGTCCATCCTAGCAGATGCTTGCCTGTCCACCAGCTCTCTTTGCTGACACAGGTAAGAGGTAGTAATCCATTGCCTGGAACTGACGCTCACCCAAGCACATCCATGCCCTCTCCACCTCATTAATCCCTACCTAACACACACCTTATGTGATGGATGAAAGAGGCCACCTGTTGCTAGGTCACGGAGGACCAATGGTGGTGTCACCCAGGGTTGTCCTCATCATCAGTTGCTATATCATGGGTTAAAACAGGTTTCTCATGGTAGATGGTGCTCAAGTTAATAAAATAAAAAAGTTGTGGTGATAAAACTTAACTACGATTTCAGCTCAGTTCTAAATAAAATGAGCAATTGCCAAATACACGTGTCTGTAGCAGGTAAAAATGTCATGCCCCCTGTCAACATGGCATAGGGGTGTGAGATGATATTGATACACTTGAGTATTGCAATATTATGATTTGTGATACTAAAGTTATTCCCTAAAACACCTGGTTAATTTTGAATAAGGTTTACATGCAAAGATTCAAATTGCAAAAAAAGTAAGACTATGTTACAGTGATTGTGGTAAATGCAAATCCACTGTTCTGAACATGTTTTAGATTGTATTCATATTGTGGTTTGTTCTATATTCTGGGACATGTTTCCTAAAAACTCATTAAGAAAATCGCAATCTATGATTTATTTTATATTTCTGCTGTCTAACGAGCTCTGTTTAAAATTCTAAATCATTCTCAAAGATTTAATAAGTGGCAGACAAAATAAATGGAATATCCAATAGAAATGTTCATTTAAGAGCATGATAAGAGACTAAACTCAAGCTGCTGAAGCTTGCTGTTACCCAAAGTGGAGCAGCATTCTTTCCAGAAGCTTCAGGAAAGTTGAGTTGAACAATGCTGGACGTTATTAGTGAAGAAAGTTTGATGGATTGTTTTGTAGTGACTCAACGGCGGCCCGGCTGAGTAGGGAAAGGGCCTGCACATATCCTGCTATTGTCTTATCGCTTCCTTTCTCTTCCATCTGTCCACAGTGCGTCCTCCGGTGCCCTCGCCGCCTCCTATCTCTGCTGAACCAAGGATAAGCTCATCGCACGACAATGGCTCCACTAGAGACAGGAGGTAAAAACCAGATAACACCTTGTCTTGCTTTGTATTTTAACATTTTTGCTACCCAGGTGGAAAATGTTTTACCCCAAATGATAAAAAGGTTAGACATTTCTTGGACATTAACTGTTATATACTGAGAAAAAAAAGCAATGGATCACGCAAGTTGACAAAACCCTCATCAGTTTATTGTCTTTCAGCAAGAAAAAGGTCAGGATCTCACATTGCTTAGCTTCACCCGAGGAGTTTCCTCAATCCCCCAGTGGAGTTATATTTTTATAAGAGGCTTAATCACGCTCCTTCCATAAACCAACCTCAGAAATACATTTTACAGTTTCTCTGTACAGAGTATCTATTGTCCTCAAACTTGAAAAATGTGCCAAGTTCAACATGGATTCCTTTCCTCTTAAGCTATGTAGGCTGCATGTCATGAAAAACATTCATAGCTCGAGCAATGCCACAGTTCAAGTAATGGAGGCAGGATACTTCCGGACCTCTGGCAGTTCACACAAACATCGGAGGCCACATCATACCGACACCACCAAGGAGAGTGCATTTTTGTGGCAAATGTCAACCTCTCATAACAGCATTACCTTCTCCACCATCATCATCGTCAAACGTTGCAACAATAGAAACACTGTTGGATTGCACTTTCTTCTAGCTTTCATCTTGTGGCATGTTTATAGAAAAAATATATATAGAATACAAAAAGCTTATACTTCTTTGAGTAACAGAATATAACATACAGTACTTCAGATTATGTTTTGATCAGCACATCAGCAGGTGTACATAAATTGCCCTCCTTTTTGCCCAAATGCGATTACGGGACTCAACGTAAGGGACGAAGTTTTGCTCACTATTAAGTGCTTTGGTCAATGGTTATAACATTGAGTATGCTCTTACAATGGTATTCTACAGGATGTTAATGCTACATAAGTATCCACTGTATATGAATGTCTGTTACGAAAGGGGCAAATTGTCAAGATGCACCACGACTTTTTCACATATTCACACGTGGCATTTACCCAGAAAATGGTTTGGTCCACCAAACCAGTATGCCGGAAACAGCCTGTTTACAGCACCATTTATCCCCCTTCACAAATGCACTAAGTAGTAGTAACGTAATTATTATTCCGGAGCACGCGATGGTACATTTTAAACACAGAAAAATATTTCCTAAAATCACACAGATTATATTTTGTAGAGAAAATAAAGTTGCGCAAAGAATTTAGGGTTCTATACACTTAGTTTTTCAAGTTCACATAAGGGCACATTGGTTTAACTGATTTCCTCCCTCTTAAATCTCTGTGATTGGACACAAATTCATTCTTTCTCTTATTCTCAACATCTCTGCTGTGATTAGATCTGTATGTGCGTTCAATTTGTCACAATGGCAGCAAATCAGAAAACTGGAGTAGGTCATTCCTGATTGGCTTTTGTGTCTCCAATCTGATTCTTACTCTTATCAGTTACTTAGGGAGGGGGGAAGCATGATAAGCAGCTCTAAATAAAGTTTTGGTGACGTGCCTATTTTAATGAACTTTAGTTAGTTTGTCTTCATTTATTAGCTTGAAGCTAAGCTATCTTGGTTAGGCTGCTAGCCAGCTAACGTCTGCCGTTTATGCAGTAGCTTATAGGCTTGCTTCGTGATTGCTAGCTACACGGCTAAGGCATTGTTAGTCTGGAGTCATGTATTGGCTTCAATATTTCAATTAATTCATTACATTATACAACCTGTCGGCAATCTTATAAAACAAGAAGCGGTACCCTCTACTGTTTAAATGTACGCAAATGTGCAAAACAGAGTGAAAGAGGTTATTATTGTATGCTTATGTGGATATAAGCATTTTTCTCTTTCGCTCAAATTAGAAATTTCTTTACATTTCTCTACTGAATATAATGTATGTGGTAGCTTACTTTTCTGTGTTCAAAATGTTCCATAACACACTCAGAAATTAGCCACAAATATAACTCCATAATAACCAAATATATCTCTAAACTATTTGTCGGATTTTCTGAACTAACTAGAGAAATGGACATCTCTAGCAACATCAACTCTGCTTGTAAAAGCTAAAGTTAAACAAAGGTGCAGCACCTGATTTCTCTGGTTTTCAACATCCCTACCATAAAATGTGTCCATTAAACAAATGGGAATAAATGAAGTACAAAAGAAAATATTAAAAGCTTAAACAGTCTCTTTGAAAAAAACAAAACCAAGTTCAAGCTGACATTCAAGTTCCAGTCCCACTTCAATCTGTGAAATCCCATTCACAAAACCGATGGAATCACTCTAGTGCAAAACTTTACACGATGCACCTCAATGCAGTCATTCTCACAGGATACAGTAAACATGTCCTTTTGTCTCTTTCCCGTTGGATTACATTTCTGGAGCGGCAGGCGGGAGCCCCGACGTGTGTTTTGGAGTCTGTAATAGTTTGTGTTCCTCTGCATGTTGGGAAGGCGTGGCTGCAGCTTTGGCGTGAACTGGATGTGTCAGCCGAACATCCAGGGCATCATTATGTTGCACTAAGGAGTGCAGGCGATAGTGCAGGACAAGTTCTTTCAGTGAGCAGTGGGCGTCGTATGGCTCTGCAAATCCGTATCCGTGCGGTGTGCTGTAGACCATACAATGCTTCACTTCTTCATTAACGCTGTAAGAAACAATAAAATGACATCGATGAGTGTCAGCTCAAGATTCGTCACAAATACATCTGATATAGTTTTCCAAAAATGTTATACTCACACAACAGAGCAAGCGTAGCATCCCTGTTTACTGCTCTCGCGGATCAGGAACGTTCCGGGAGCTTTTCCTTGGAGCATCTCCTCGGCCTGTGTCCGGCTCATTTCACCAACAAACCAATTTGTCTCCTCCTGATGTGGCAAATTCTTCTCGTCTCCTTTTAACACATAAGTGCTGAAAAACAAAACAAAAGTTGTATTGTAACACCTCCGTAATCTCATTTTTAGATTATAAGAAGCATTCTTGAACTTTGTTTCCATAATTAATTAGTTGAAACGTACTCATCAAGGCTGTCACTCAGAAGCCCCAGCCAGTCGTTTATGCGTTTCTGCCTTACGCCTTTGTGATTTAGCCAGCTGCAAGGAGAGGTGTAAACAAAGGTTTTGCTTTAATACAGAATACTACTTTACAGAGCAGCTTCAGAATGTATTCCCACCGACAGCACAAACAATACTCTGATAATTGACTTACTTGAGGTACAGGTCTCTGATGTTGCGCAGCTCTATGAGGTCGGGCCGCAAGCTGTTAATTTTCCTGTCCGTCTCTCTGTAGTCCTCCACCTGCGTTCTCAAGTCTTCTTCCAGATGGATTTTGCTGTCGTAGATCTCCCCTAGACGACACTTCAGCTTCTCATAATTTATCAAAAAGCTAAAGGGGGGAAGTAAAAAAGAAACACCGGTCAGATGGCTCTACATGCAACCATATTACACAATTTTAGGTACACTTTTTGGGACGATAAAAATACAATAAAAACCTATAAAGCTGCAAATATTATTCGATTAGTTGTCAGAAGAGAATATCGTAGTGCATAAAACAAGACTTTTGATAATGTCATCTTGGGCTTTCGGAAACACAAGTTGACATTTTTAAACATTTTGAGACACGTTATAGAGTGGACAACTTATTTGATATTTACTGTAGAAAAAAAACAACAGATTATTAACGTACCTCTCCAGATCTTTGTCGGCTCCTTCGGACTGATTGTTCATTTCAAACTCCTCTCCATAACGCTCCTGTTCGCGACACTGCTCCTCGAAGATCAGCATCGTCTCGTTGAAGGCCTCAATTGCCGTTCGTTTCATTTGGATCTCCTGAATCACAAGGAACACATCCATTCAGAAAATGTCTACTTTTTAAACAAGTACTGATGTTACCACAAATCCATCAGGGTTAATTTAATACGTTGATTTTTACGTGTGAGGTCTTTGTGAAAGTTTCATAAAGGTGATCAAACTCCTTGGACTTCTCTTGATACTGACAGTGAACCTCCTTTAACTTTCTTCCAGCGACATCTACATTATCCTCTTTCACCTGTAGTTAACAAAAAATACACTTAAATTAGTACAATGATCACGCTATTAATACTTTAAAAAAATGTCTGACTGTCAAATTTGTCAAGCAAACATAACATAACGTTGCTCACTAACCTGCTGGAAGCGGGACACAGGATTGGTTAGCATTAGGTCCAGTGTGGCGTTGTACTCCACCAACGGATGGTGCTGATAGTGCCAGATGAGCTCCACTACTGATATGAACGTGAGGGGGTCCGAGAAACCGTACTTCCCATCACGGTGGTAGATCTTAATCAGCTTGTTGTGCCCGTCTTTCCTGAGAACATGAACGGCAAAAGGAACACGATCAGATTATTGACGTCAAGTAAAATGTGATGTTATGATTAGATCTTTTTTTACCGTAACGTCAGTGTGAAGTCTCCTTGCAGCTTTGTGGATGCGTCACGCACCAAAAAGGAGCCATCAGGTGTGTCCCGGAGCTTCTCATTCACCTCGTCCCTAAGGGGAAATCAGTTAACAGTTAACGGATGTAACATACAAACGCGTTAAACAACAACACATACTTTGAGAGAATGATGGCGTGTTTGTAGTGAAGATACCTTACCTGGTTACATCTCCCCAGTACCACTCTGCGTCCTCTATGGTATATGTAGGGGGCGAAAGGCAGTTGTTGTTCATGGTGGAGGACACTGGCTTTGTTGACCTGGGAGGGAGAGCTACAAGCAAAATAGAGGACAGATAGGGTTAAATATCAGGATAACGGTTTCTTAGAAAGAGCTCTATCAGAGACTGTAAAGCATTAATCTAGTGTGAGATCACCTTTTGTTAACACCAATATTGCAATAGAGGATATGCGCATGTATAAGTAAGTGTTAAGGAAATGGTGAACGTTTGCTACCCCCCACCACCACCAACACACACTCTGTCATACCCCTTTCTTGGTGGAGCCTGTCATAATCTGAGGACAAGCCCAGGCATGTTTCCAACATGTATCACTCGTTAAATCATTACCAAGTGTGGTCAGCACTAAAAAAGGGAAATGTGGCAGTTATTCCTCATTTACGAGCATTAACAGTCAACAAATATGGAACAAGTTTTATTTTATTTTCCATAGATTCTCTGCTTTTAAGCGTCGAGTTGCCTTTGCATCTAGCAAAGTTTGCAGCAGCCATTGCCTGGCACTGCCATGAAGTGCATGAAAGGCATTTAATAAACCATAAATTACATTTTGAGCCCCTTGGATTACCCCTTCCCATCGTTATAACCATTGCACGCTTAAAGACCCTTCTCAAGTTTTCCGTCAAACTTAAAGGAATAAAAACCTGTGAGTCTGGCTTAAAGCGTTTTCCTAAAAATGAAAAAGGAGGGCAAACCGCATCAAGAGGAGGTGAAGGGCGATATATTTCACTGCAGGACAAAAGTGCCTTTCATGGGGCAGTTAGGGAGAATACAAGAGCACCCTCAGAGAGGAGAAAATGTGGGTTTCTCCCACCATCCGCTCTCCGATTTTCTGACCTTAAAATAAACAAAAGGCAGGTGCAGCAGCACAGTGGCATGCACGAAACGCAAAGCTGCGGCTCCTGAACTCAGCAAAATTAAATCTGCACACCTTCCCCCTTTCTGTTTCCTGCCAAGAAAGTCAACAGGCTTCCAAAACCCACACGCACATACCAGCACAGACAAGAGCCACGTAATTTAAGTAAAGAATAATACCAAAAAAGCAGTTCTGCACTTTCCATAATAGCAAAAACACATAAAAAGCTAACACTTGAATTGACACTTAAACGCAACAGCACATAGCCTACCTTAAAGGAACAATGAATTGTATCTGTATTTTTCTCAATTGTATCAACTGTAGTTTTTTAAAATACTCAATGTATGGGTAAGCAATTTTAATGCGCTAATCAAATGAAATTAGCTTTTTTTGTTTTGAAGAAGAACCCATAGCAGTGCATTATAAGTGTTATACGCCTTTGTAATAACGCTTAGGTCAAATTACAATTATGAAGTGTTGGTGAGTTGCCGGAGTTAAGTCATGAGACGAGCTGTCTAGTCTGCTTGCCTATAGCCTACTTTGAGAGCTAGCACACAAATTAACCACGGCTGGCTGCAGAGGAGAACAAAGCAGTCGTTTCATGCGGCGCTCATTAACGCACCCTCAACTATATTCCCTTTCAAAATGCAATCTGTACACCGCCATACGCCTTCAGCAAATCGCTTTTGGTTCACGAGGACAGGCAAAACCGCCATGCATTTGTGTCCCAAGTTTTGTCACAAGCGCTGGGACAAAAGAAAAGCCACTGCGCCTGGTCACAGAAAGGTATTACGTAATTGGCAAGTGAATTGCGCTATGCATGCCTGGGCAAAGCCACTGGGGGAGCTCAGGACTGAGGACCTGGCCATTATAACGTTTTAACTAACACCTGCATAGCATTTGTGGAAATGTCAGCTTTATTACAGATATTACGCAACATAATAGCAGCTAAAGGAGAAAGCAGAATATGTTTTTTCGACTCCCCCCCGAATATAAAAAAAAGGACAATGGCTGCCTTTAAACTTAGCCTACCTGGTGCTGCTTGATCCATTTCGATGTAGAATAGACCTTCGGGAGGATAAACCATTCCTGTTTCAAAAGAGTAGTCCAGGTTGCTGTCTTTGCGCGTAATACAAAAGAATGCACGTTTCTTTTGCGGCAAATTGAGTCAATGCATTGGCAAACGCCACGTCCTACATAGATGAGGACAAAAAAATCTCCTTCGATTCCGAGTCCATGAAACATCCCAGAGTCCTGCGGTGTGTTCTCAACATATCCTGACTAAAGGGGTTATTTCTGACACATCGGTTGTCAGTTCGTGCCTTCTCGCGGTACGGCGGAGCTCTACTTTACTTCATCTCGGAAGTGGAGCGACTTTAAAGGGCTGTTCGTAACATCATCTTGGCACCGTCCAAAATGCTCCAACAGGAGGGGGGGTGTCTTTTTTATACATGATTCGTCCTCACATAAAACAAACCCAGTTAAGTTTATATTTCATATCCAAACAAAGATAATCTATTTTAAGTATATTATGCAAATGAATATTGTATAACTTGAATTTAATCCATAGATACTGCGTATTCCTCATCCGTAACCCCCTTAATTGTAATGGAACATTCCAGACCTTTTCATTCAGTTCTCCTCAAGCTGCACTGTAACAGCTGAACAAATCTTTGCAGGGCATGAATGGAAAATAAAAACGTAGTCTATTATATGGAATAATTTAGAAAGAACACAATCTTACATATACCATATATGTTTTAATATTCACAACAAGTTATAATTAAATTATTTCCTGCCATTTAAGCTTTGCGCACATTTACTGGCGTGTGAATAGGTTGCAATAGATGACATCATGCTTTAGGCTCTTTGATAATTCAAGTGTCTTCAGCTGTTCGGCATCCAGAGAGCACCAGACTTCAACCCCTTTGTCTGAGAGGGGACAGAGTTGCCTGCCTATTTGGCAACTGTGTATTATATTCTCGTTGAGCTTGTCAAACATGTTCTGCAGCAAAAATGGAACGTAATTATTGCTGCTCTGACATCGACCTGTTCAAGACACGATAGGTGTTACCACCTGTTAACATCAGGTTTTTTTTTATGGTGACGCATTCTGCAGTTTCTTTCTTCATACGCCAAAAAAAGGATCAGGATTATTATTTCCTTTTGCAATTGTGTTGGATGAATACATGCATTGTTGTTTGTTCATGACACATGATGACACTGCACCATCAATTTAAACAACCAAGGCCTCCAACACCAGCTGACGTTAGTGGCTGCAGGGAGAGTGAAACAAGGCCGGCATGGTCAGAGGTCTGTCTCTGTTGGTGTCCAGGCGTTTATGGCCGGTCCCCTTTTGACCCAAGGACAGAGTGTCAGGGAATTAATTGCCTCAAGCATTCCTTTTTCCCATCAGTAAGACGATTCTTTCCTGGATCCAGTCAGTGCCAATGAAACGTCCTAAACCAACTTCCATGATGGGGCCATATATTGGCAAGAAAGCAATGCTGAAGAATGCTGATCTCACATGTACAGAAAACAAAATCAGCAGGTATTTCAGTCAAATATTTGTTTACATTTAACGTTAACATTCTTTTATTGTATTATTTGCATGTTGTGTGCAAATGTTGTTTACACACAAGCAAACTTTCCAAATGGTAATTTTGGGACATGACACGACAGTCTGGATTTCCATTGGTAATCCTCTTAAAAAAATTGGCAACCTATTTGTGGCCTTTGGTGGCTTTCAAAGGCATCACTTTTTTAACATATAGGTCAGTGAACAGCAAAACGTGCACGTGTATGTATAGGAAGGAATTTAGCTGTCGAAGCAGAATCAAGGCAGACTGCTACTTTGATTTTGTATACCAGGAATCAAAAGTGTATAGGTTAACTGATATCACTTTAAATTTGTTTTCTGTAAAGTATCCAAAAATGCATATTGTCTTGATTGCCTACCACTTATAAAAGTGAATGTTTAGTGGCAGATGTTGGCATGCATTATATCCACCATTTGACATGTACTGTATGTAATAGTGCAGGTGTGTGTATGTGTATGTTCTCTTGTGTACTTTCCATGTGTTTCCTGCTTTAAGAAGCCCTGAGGCCTGTCACGGCATGTCACTTGGCTGCTTTCCACCCCCCCCCCCCCTTCTGGTGATGGAAGAGTACAGCCTTTCACCTTTGTCTTCTAGGCCTGAACTCTGTGACGCAGTTCTCCAACTCCACCTCTTTAAACTAAGGCTGTCAATAAATTACAACGGTGAATCAAGTTGATTACATTACATGCTGATTAATTAATCGCTTTTAATCCCATTTCTCCCATTTTGCTTGGAAAGTCCCCTGAAATGAAGATGTCTCGACTCAAAAACATTACATATTGTTTGCACAGGAGTGAATTATTGAGAAGAATTATCACAAGTGGCATTAGAAATCTTATTATTTCTAATCATGTTCGGGTGGGGTGTAGGAAAACCCGGTAACAGGGAGGGAAGCCAAAAAAGTATTCATTTTCACCAAACACAGAAAAAGCCGATTTGAACTGTTAGGTGACTTTAACACATTTTCGTTAAAAATAAAGACTGGTGCTATCAGAGGCTCAGATCTGAATGACCGCTCCAGGTAAAGCGTCAGATTTTTGGAGCATCTTCACAAAGTTGAAATTGTTTGAAATATGTTGCCTCATAAATATTACGAGACCCTAAAAATGGGGATGAACGATATTAGATTTGTTCCAATATTTTCCACCTGGTTTGGCGTTTATCATCACCATGACCGAAACACACACTCAAGGCTCTCTTGTATTTGAATAAACATATGCGTGCCTACTGTTATCATAATGGCCCACTGGCAAATAAAAACATAAAATACAATTATTTTTCAAATCACATTACATTACATTTAATTTGGCTGATGATTTTATCAAACTCCTAACAACAAGTGCAGATATATTCACTTCAAGCTAGTCATACCATTGTAAGTGTTGGTGAATAGTTACAAGGCCCAAGCTAACTCAAACTCAAATAACTGTTCAAATTCACTATGCAAATTAAGACATAACTACTTCCTCTTAGGTTAATGTAACATATCCACCTGTCATGTTGAAGTAAATGTTTTATTGGCAGATAGATTGGCTGAATTTGTTTGACATATTTAATTTTAAAACCTTTATCTGCCATCCCAGTTAGACTAGAGATACTTTTGAGCATCCCTACACTGAAAAATGTAGGATAGCCTTTGTGTGTGTCCTGTGTATGTGTCCTGTGTATGTTCGCCCCGTTTGTGTACGTGTAGTGACCAGGGTGAGGGAGGGCTGACTTGCAGGATAAACCTTTAGGCTTTGCACCTCAGATCCAGGCAGTCCTGATGGGATCAGTGAAGGCTAATCGTAAGATTAACGGGATAGGCTGATACTGCAAGCCTGCCAGCTGCCTGCTAGCTGATGTGACTCATCTTGATATCCACCACCGCAATATGCCACCGGACTGTGGGAGTGCTGGGAAACGCTGCAGGAGTTTCAAATTAATAGACAGATGTTTCTCTGTGCTAAATGCAGATAACAGTTTGACTGTAATGCTGTTAGACTTACATTTTTGACACTGACCAGCAACTTAGAGTGAATATTATAGGCAGCAAATATTAGGGAGAGTCGTGTAAGAGATTTGGTCATTTATCTGGTCAGGAAAGGAGTGTCAGGATTGGAAATGGAGTCATGGAGAATGGCAAACAGGATTGTTTTTGTGCCCTCGAGGTTATTAGGTCAGTGGTTCAAGTGAACTATGTGGTGAAATTACGGAAAGAGCTTTAATCCCCATGTTTAAGAGTGTTAATGTGTACATGATAGGCCACCCGCTGTCATTGAGCCAGCCACACTAAGTGACAACAACCATTTGTAGAATCAGTGTTATAATCTCTGGGCTTTTTAGACTAATGCTTGTTTACACCTTGTCCACTAACTGTGTCATGGAATTTAGTAATCAACTGTTTTCATATTTCCCGTACGGGGTAACGTAGGACGCGTTTTATCAGGATTTGTTTTGTTTGTTGTGGTAAAAAAAGGAAAATACGCGTAGGCACAACGCGGAAAAACCATGTCAGGAATGAGTTCAGTTTAGCCATGTCGGTATCTGTGTCATGGTCTCGCGCTGTAGCCCTGGGTGAATTGCACATCTCTCAAATCTTCTGTACTGTAGTGTGCTGCTATTCACGGCCATTGAAGGGCTGCATAATGGCCTTGGCAGGGCCTTCGACATTCACCATGGAGAGACTGTGGGGTTTCCCTGATCGGCGGCCAGAACCAGCACACAAAGCACGCAGTAGTTCTGCCAGAGGCAACTCAACTGTGGGCAGAGTGTAGGGCGGCTATGGTCTGGCCCCCAGGACCCTGCCATTGTGGAAATGTAAGTGGGGACAGTGTCTGAACGGCTTGAGTTGGAACAGAAAACTTTGGACGACCAAAACTATGAGCTTCAAATAGCTGGGCCCTGGGAAACATAGCGTGTTCTTTTAAAGGAGGTCAAAGAGAAGCCAGAAAGAGAAAAAAACAAAACAGAAAACCAATGTTTGGTGGATGTCAAATTGGAGGCTACTGTTACTATAGACATCAGAAAAACTGACATGCCATTTTTCCAAACGCATCAGCGTGTGTCTGCCTCTCTGTCGCTGTCCTCTGCACCCGTTGGTCACACACACTCATCATCTGTCACTCCACTCTGCCTGAGCCTAATCTTACTAACAGAGGTGACATCTGAGGTACTCGTGGCATGCCACCAGATAGCGTTTACCAGCCATGTGTCTGAGTTATGCCTACGATGATGATCCTGTGGTGTCAGCGGCCTCTGTCTCAAAGAGGCTTTCCCCACCTCTCTGCATGAGAGGCACGCCAAGTAAAAGCCTGACCGGGAAGAGTGCATGTGTGATATATCAGTATATATAAGTTTGTTTCAAAGGGAAGTACTTGATTATTTTATCATTTTATTATAAGTCGAATTTCAAAGCCAATGGCCTTCTTCTATTAAAGAAATGTTTGCTTTTAAGAAACCAGGATGTAATACTTGGTATGTTTGCGATTCTTACAACTTTATAATGCAATTCACTTACACAGCATTGTCTTAAAAATGGTCAGCTATAAAATGAGTCATTACATATGCTTTTCTCCTAATGACATTACTAATGATCAAAATCTAGCAAGTCAACAACTTTGCCTACACAGCCAAGCAAAGAGCAGGTGCATAAACAAAATACTGAGCAAGATAGCTAATAAACTACCGTAAAAGCTATGTTTCCGTTATGCTGCTCCAATTCTGGCACAACAACGGTGAACACCTGAAAACCTTGTCGTCCTTATC